CCCCAAAACCCCAAAACCCCAAAACCCCACTCTAGAAGCGAAGGTTGAAATTGAATGTTGTCACTAAATTTAAACATTGAAACAACCTCATGACTAATGATAAAAGTCCACCATGCTTCAAACAACTGAGCTTAAAAGATTGTGCACTGGGTGGATCATCCTTGAGTATATCATCAATCTTTGAATCTTTGATCTCCAGAATCTTGCTCGCGCTGATTATTGCGCTCAATGAACTCTAAACATAATAAAAAGAATACCTCTGATCTCGGCTTGATCCACTTTCGGAATTGGTTCAACGATTCTGATCTTGGCTACACAATTACAACAATGTTACAGGTGCAGCAGTGGCTGTTGGCAGGATTCTGAGGGGATCCTCCAATGTTCTGATGTAAGTGACTGATGCTGTTAACATTCTTGTCAGCATTCTTTTCAGCATTCTTGTCAGCATTCTTGTCAGCATTCTTGTCAGCATTCTTGTGCAGTGTGTTCTTGCCAAACTCTACTTTGCCATGGTTGCAGTGAATCAGCATTGCATTCTCACAATAAATCGACACTGGCACAACTCTGGCTGGAGTGTCCTCTTGCATGTATCCACTTGACACTTGCTTGTGTTTGTTGTCAGACTCATTGACAGACTCTTGTATCGGAACGGGCTTCGAAAAGTTTTTACGAAGTCGAGGCACTTTAGACTCTTCTTTCGAATGTTTAGAATACTTAGAGTGCTTGTATTCACTTCCAGCAATGCTTTGTCTGGAGTCAAATCGAATACTTTTGTAAGAACGAAAATGAGGTTGGCTATTTCTGGGTTTGTCTGGACCAGAATGAGCATCTTTAAGTTCATAATTTTCATTGAGTGAATTTCTATATACAATGATGGCATTCAGGCAGCACACAGTATCCAGATCCAAGAATTCAAGAATGCAACTTACTCAAGAAATCTTTTATTTGCTGAAGTTCCCACTGACTTTACAGATAGACTTTGCTCTTTCAGACTTTAGTCTGGTAGGGTTTATTGGAATAGTCCTTTGACTCAGACTTGATTTCTTGATCCTGACGATATTTACATTTAGATTGCTTCATTTTGCTGCTCCTTCTTGGAGAGTTGCCAAATTCTTGAAAATATTAAGCAATGTGACACTAAGTCATACAACTCTGTCTTTTTTGATGGTAATGCTAAGTCCAGAGCCTTAAAGTATGATAAATTTAGTTTATACATAATTTTGTAATGGTAGAGACTATGAGATAATTGTTTCTTTGTTGAATAGAAGAAATTCTAATTTTCTTTTATACATTTTCAATGAGTTAAATTTTTTGCATCAAATTCTTCCCTTTGAGCTTCAAAATAATTTATATAGAAGGCCATACTTATCCCATAATTCCCTTGCAGCTCATTTTCCACAAACCAACGGATACAGTTTTAACTCTCTCCTCCACTTCATATCTAAAGTAGCCTTTATAGCATCTAAAACATTAACTTTAACTCTGGATCTGCCCTTTATCCCAGTTATCCCCTCAGATTCATAGTCTGGCCATATCCCACTGAACCCATTATCCAGCCTGGTTCCTCCCAACTCTCAAGTCCTCAGTCTCAGCAGAAGATTCCTCTGCACTGTGAAAAGTCTCTGGAAAAGCCAAGCCTCAGCCAGAGGCTTTGCATTTATTTTTGAGATTCATGAACAGACTTGGGTGCCGAGGGAGAGCCAGGGAGGGTGCAACATGGCAGAACAAAAGCCTGACATGCACAGAGAGATTTCGAGAGGGCATAAGGTAAATTAGCACCCATTTTAGAGTATCTGGAAAGGACTTTGAGAGTCTATTTTGACAGGTCTTGATATTTTTGATTTATTTGCATGAACTTAGCAAACTCCCTTGCCTTTGTAATCCAATTAGGTTATTATCTGTGAGTATTTTTAACTCACAACCTACACCACAATCTTCTAATAACACTTTCAGTAATAATCCCCATGAATGCTCTCGCTTCATCCTTAGTCAGCACCTAGGCTAAGAATTATTGAATGAGATCAGTTGGCTCATTATTGCATAATGTTGATACTTCCTCCTATCTATTACCTATACAGACAGGCTCGATCAGACTGAGTCGAACTGCTCTTGCTGATACTTCAAGCACAGAACTTATTATTCAATATTTCAATTTATAAACAATGGGAAGGGGTTTTGGGGTTTTGGGGTTTTGGGG